GGTCCATCAGGACCACGAGCAACAGAGTGCACTACAACCGCGTGCACACACACCTGTATAAATATGTTGATGAGGTACATCAGGTCCACGAGCAACAGAGTGCACTACAACCGCGTGCACACACACCTGTATAAATATGTTGATGAGGTACATCAGGTCCACGAGCAACAGAGTGCACTACAACCACGTGCACACACACCTGTATAAATATGTTGATGAGGTACATCAGGTCCACGAGCAACAGAGTGCATTACAACCGTGTGCACACACACCTGTATAAATATGTTGATGAGGTACATCAGGTCCACGATTGATCGGAGGACAGTGAGTGAGATGGCAGCGGGGTAGTTGATGTCCAAACACAGGGTGGACTGGGGGGGGGGAGGGGGGAGGAGAATGAGGATGGGGCAGAATGAAAGAGACGCGGGGCGGGATGGCATGACAGTGAGAGCGATGGCAGCACACAGGGTGATGTGAAAGGGCACATGGGGCAGAGGGAGGGAGCGAGAGAGATGAGACAGGATGGGAGGGGGCGTTATGAGGCGGGCATATGATGCCGATGCCCGATTCGATTGTGAGGCGGGCATGTGAGAGATAGAGTCTGCATGGCTGTGAGGCTCGACACAAGGCTGCCCAACCACCTCCTCCGGTGTGGCACGGGGCACGGACGGACAGATACCCATAACGCCCTACGGGATGAGAGCATCCGGATGGCCCGGGACGCTGATTTTATAGTCACCAAAGAGACGACCATCTACAGCCCCGTGGACGGGCACAAGGCCGACCTCGCACTCCGCGACCGCAGCTCCGGAGCCGTCTGGATCTGTGACGTCACCGTCACCGACCCCATCAGCAGCCGGGACCCGGATGCACGGAAAGGACGAGGATACATGGCCCGGGAGCAAGCCGACAAAAAGATATCCCACTACCGAAATCGGGCTCCCTACGTGGGCTTCTTCCCACTGGCGGTCGAGACTTACGGCTGCCCCTGCGCCGAAGTCCCCACCTTCCTCAAACTGCTGGCAGACACAGGTGCCAGGAGGCTCTTCAATGCCGACCCCAGCTCCTACCAGGCAGCTAAATTGCTCCACCAGTTCCGCCAGCGCTGGTCTGTGACGCTCCAGCGAGCGCAGGCCTTGGCTTACCTGGGTAAGGTGAACGAAGCCTCCCCGGCCCCCCACGCTCCCGTGGGCACACCCGCCGCCGACATGGCCCTCGGGGACTGTTTTGCTATAACAGAACCCCTAGGGGAGCTCGAGTAGCTTCGGGCACCCCCAACATGCACGTACCTCTCCCTTGTTGCCTTCCGCTTGCCTAGCCTGTACCGAGGATTCCAAGGAATAAACGGACCGCTTGAGAGGCTCGCATGACAGTGCTGTGAGGATGGTGGCAGCGGAGTAGTTGATGTCCAAATGCATGCCATGGTGCTTTTTTAGTCGACTCAAAAATCATCTACGGCTCACATGACAGTGCCGTGACTCCGTGAGGCTGATGGCAGCGGGGTAGTTGATGTCCGAGCACATGGCAGGGAAAGCAGATCCTTGAGTCGACTCAAAAATCACCTCTTGATGTCCGAGCACGTGGCAGGGAAAGCAGATCCTTGAGTCGACTCAAAAATCACCTCTTGATGTCCGAGCACGTGGCATGGAAAGCAGATCCTTGAGTCGACTCAAAAATCACCTCTTGATGTCCGAGCACGTGGCATGGAAAGCAGATCCTTGAGTCGACTCAAAAATCACCTCTTGATGTCCGAGCACGTGGCATGGAAAGCAGATCCTTGAGTCGACTCAAAAATCACCTCTTGATGTCCGAGCACGTGGCATGGAAAGCAGATCCTTGAGTCGACTCAAAAATCACCTCTTGATGTCCGAGCACGTGGCATGGAAAGCAGATCCTTGTGCGACCACATAAAGTGTCTACTTAAGTAAACGGGGCGTACCTTGGAGGGTGAGAACATGGGAAGCAGCGTGATGAGGAACCGGGTTAGTGTGGATGGTAACCAGATGATGGTAAACAAGAGCATGGTAACCAGAGGATGGTAACCAGGGGATGGCAACCACACTATGGTAACCAGATGACTTCTGAGCGTATATGCATACCTTGCTCGGTGAGAACATCGTGAGCAGCGTGAAGAGAAACCATGGGTCTATGCAGAAGCCGCCGATGCAGAACAGCATGAAGTACTTGTTCCACTGGGACACGAATCTATGAAGACCGGGGAGAAGAAATGGGGAGGGGAGCAATGCATTGGGTTGCTGTAACGAGTCGGCGCAAATGGGTCTATGCAGAAGCCGCCGATGCAGAAGAGCGTGACGTACTTGTTCCACTGGGACACGAATCTGAAAGGGGGTGAGAACGGAGAGTTGAAAACGGAGGAGGGGAGGGGAGGGAAGGGAGGGGAGGGACTCAAGATAAATAATATATGGAAGCAGAAGCTGGAGATGCAGAAGAGCATGAAGTACTTGTTCCACTCTGAAAGGGGATGAGAACGGAGAGAAGAAAACGGGGGAGGGAGGGGAGGGGAGGGACTCAAGACACATAATACACTGATGCAGGCACGCAATGCATTGAGTCGATGTGACGAGTCGGCTCAAACGGGGCGATGCAGAAGCACACCTCAAAAGCAGAAGAGCATGACGTACTTGTTCCACTGGGACACGAATGTATGAAGACCGGGGATAAGAAATGGTAATGAGATGAGGAGGAAGGGAAGGAGTTGAGTGAGATGGTGATGCCTGGACTCAGAAGGCGGAGGTGCAGAAGAGCGTGAAGTACTTGTTCCACTGGGAAACGAATATATGAAGACATAGGAGAGCTACCGCGGGAGTGCGGGATGAGTAGAGTTCGAGTGCCACCACAAGAGCCCACCTGGCAACAAGAGCGCTCCTGGAGTGGGGGTTGAGGATGCCCACGGGTTGGACCAGCCCCCCCCACGAAGCGGAGTGTGCTTCGAAGCGGCTGTAGAGCAGCCACAGGTGGTTGTTACCACAGCCTGCTACCACAACTGCAGGGTGATGTAGGTCACTTGCGCCCACATGAGCCCACCTGGAGTGCGGGTTGAGCGCCCTACAAGACAAGAGCCCACCTGGAGACAAGAGCCCACCTGCAGACAAGAGCCCACCTGCAGACAAGAGCCCACCTGCAGACAAGAGCCCACCTGGAGTGCGGGTTGAGAATGCCCACAGGTTGCACCAGCCCCTCCACGAAGCGGAAGAAGCCAAGCATGGGCGACCGGCGCTTGCCCTGCAGCAGGGGGCGGGACAGAGGGGGGGGGGGGGGGCTCTTTTGAGGTGTGCTTTTGAGTCGACTTAAAAGCGCTTGCCCTGCAGCAGGGAGCGGGACAGAGGGGGGACGGGGGGGGCTTTTGAGGTGTGCTTTTGAGTCGACTCAAAGGCGCTTGCCCTGCAGCAGGGGCCGGGTCAGAGGGGAAGGGAGGGGGGTGGCTTATGAGGTGTTTTGGACGAGGGGGGAATGGGAGAGGGGCACGAGGCCGAGAGGGGTCGAGCACAAATAAAGGGCGCAGGGGTTAGACCAGCCCCCACACGAATCAAAGAAGCCAAGCATGCGCGACCGCAGCTTGCTCTGGAACGAACGGGCGGGGCGGTTTGGGGAAGGATGGAAAACGGGAGAGTTCAGATGCGGGCGATAGGAGGACACGGGAGGGCGAGAAAGAGAAAGGGCACAAGGGAAAGGGGGGGGGGAGACGAACCCGGCTGGTGAAGACAACGCAAGGCAGCCCACAGCAGCGGATGATGGTTCCCTTCCCGCCCTTCCACTCATCGTACTCCTCGTCATCCTCAAAATCAAACTCGTCAAAATCATACTTGAGAGAAAGAGAGTGTGGTGAACGGAAAGGGGACGAACCCGACTGGTGAAGACAACGCAAGGCAGCCCACAGCAGCGGATGATGGTTCTCTTCCCGCCCGTCTCCTCGTCATACTCCTCATCATCCTCAAAATCAAACTCGTCGAAATCATACTCAAAATCGTCCATCCCCCCTCCCCCTCCGCCGCCGCCCCCGCCTCCGCCTCCCTCTCCCCCATCCCCCCCATCGCTACCCCGCCTGCCCCCGCCCTTTCTGTCTTTCGATGCGAGCGGCTGCGGAAATTCGTCTATAACCGCCGCCATTAGCTTCCGGTTCCGTAGCGCGTGCATTTCCGGCGGGCACTTGTTACACGTCGGATCCATGCACATAATCATAGACTTCTGCACTAGATTAGACTTTGGTATGCTAGGCGTGCTCGGCGCCGTCCCCCCCCACGATCCCGACTGGGGGATCACCGAAGGCGGCGGAAACATTCCCGACTGCCCGATCAGCCCCGACTGACCAATCATGCCCGACTTTCCCATGCCCGGGCCGGGAAACTGCCCGGAGAGCGGCCCGCCGGGTCGTCTCCCCCCGCCTCGAAGAAGACCGCTGTCTCCCGGGCGGTAACTGGGGAAGGCGGCTTCTGGCATGCGCCCGCGCTGCAGGTGCTGCGACGGGGACCACAGCCGCGCGTCTCCGCTCATGTCGGAGCCCAGCGCGCGGTGCATCATGCCATCGCCGCCGGGGGAAACGGCGGGGTGCGGGCGGGGGAAGATGGCGGAAGCCGCGGGGCGGGTTCTCCGCCGAGGCGGAGGCTCCGGCATCTCCATGGACAGATTCCGCCTGTCGCGCTCGGGGTCCCGCGGCTGAAACCCCGGAAATCCGTGGAAGCCTTGCGGCGTCGGCGGATTCGTGAAATTGGAACTGAGATCGGAAAAGCCCGTCATCGGGCCGCTGGGGGTGGCTGGGTCAGGGCCAGACACCGCTGCGGCGGCGGCTGCGGCTGACGCGGAGGCTGACGCTGCGGCTGTCGCGGCGGCAGATGCGGAGGCCATGGCGGAGGGGGTTAAGGGCCCTCCTGCTGCTCCGCGGACCCATCTGGGGGTGTAGCTCGGGGTACGCTCGACGACGTTGGGGGTTGGTAAGGAGGCAGCGATGTCGATGGTTGGCGGCTCGGGAGGGATTCCATGCTCGGGAAGGCTCCGGTCTCTCTCCATTGACGCACGCGTTGAAGGGAAACGCAGTCAGATGCGGTCCGAGAAACTAGAAGGTGCGAAACGTTCGAGCTGACGGAATGATGCGGTAACTTAGCGAGACCAAGAGCAACGCTTACTGAAGCTCTTTACTCAGTATGCGACATGGTTCTTGTTTTTAAAACCCCTGAAGATGATTGTCTACACACTGCAGAATAACTAGACGGGACGCTGCTGGTGTAACGGGACGCTGGTGCGGATGTGTGAGCTTGGCTTCCTACAGTGCACTGCCATTGACGTAAACGGTGTCGAGACCATCGTGAGAATGAAACTAACGTGATAGCGGAAGCGATAGCGAGAGGCAAGCCGGCACGTATCCGAAACGCGTTCCAATAACCCTACCGGATTTCACGCTGATGCGGAAAGCAACAGAGGAAGGCAAGAGAGGCAGCCATGGAAAGCGGGATAAGGAACCTGGGCATTACTGGTTGGGTAAGCTGAGGCTGGACAACCAAGCTTTCGTTGGGATTTTCCTGCCCGAGAAGCTGACCGAAACTCACCTTCCTTGGTTGTCGGACCTATTATTGGTTGGTCGAGGGTGTAGGAAAACTGCCTTTTTCGCGGCTGCCCGGAGTCGGTGTGTCAGGTTTGCCTTGGGGATGTCGTGTGTGCCCAGCAAGGGTCTTGCAGTTCTGTTGCGGCTCGATAATTTCAAGGGGTCCGATCCCAACAGTTTCGGGGATTCCACGGCGGTGTCAGGTGGAGGAACGCTGAACAAGAGCCAATCGGACAACTTGTCGCGCTAGATTAACGGATTCAAATGGGGTTCAGCTGGTTTGAAACGGTTTGTGTTGGGTTGAGCGGGGGTCCCCCATCCAAACTCGTCAAGTCGCTGTCACCACCACAACGCTACAGTGGTTCCCCGTGAGTGGCTGGTTGTGCTGTACTTGTCCATTCACAGCGCTCCTTGTCAAGCGGTGCAATAATTTGAGGGCCTACAGAGCTTCAGTATCGAGTAAATACGCTCTACAGCGTGATATTCCCGTTAGCATGAAATCCGGCGTGTACCCCACTCGATGCGTTTGCGTATGCTGGTTCGAAATCTAACCCTCAGTTTTTGTAATAACATGTCCATCCATTAGGCGCATAACAAGTACAGCCAGTAAGTGAAAGAAGTTACAGTACAGCAAGAACGCGATAGGTAGTGATGAAAACGCAGCGCGGAGACGGTATTATCGAGGTGATTTTCCTCTGGATTTGCGGTGAGGTTTTCCTTCACTGGGTGAGTGAAGATCCAGTTTAGTAGTGAGTGCCACCAGTCACGCCATAGTGCAGTGCTAGTCACGCCATTGGCTGAAGGTGCATGCCAGCTTGAAGCATTTCGGCAGCTTGCCCTGAATACGTTAGTTGCTGTTTCGTGGTGCCTTGACGCCAGACCGGTTAGCCATCGTGCTCTGACAGGACGTTCCTTGCTCAGCATTCTCTACGGACTCTTCGTCGTCAGCATTCGCTGAGTCATCAGCGTATACTATTTCCTCCATTTGATAGTTATTCCGTCGTGAGCTTCGTCCTAGAGCCTAAGCTTCCTCTTTCAGCAATTTCTCAGAGCCGCACGAGGTTAAGCTCCAGGTGGCTTTGATTCCGCTTTGTGCGGCCACGTGCGATCTGGTGGGATAAATAAACATGGCTTCCGAACTGTTAAGGCCACAGGTGAGTTTTATTTCGCTTTAAAATGTCGCATTTTAGGTGCATTTAGGAAAATATGAGCGAATATTTCTGTGTGCGGACCAGCTCAAGCATTCATTCTGCTCCTCTTACCCCACATTCACACGTGTCAGCTTTAGAGATAAACCTGATTATGCTAGCAGGTTCATAAACAAATCTGCATTGTAAGTGGATTCGCAGAGTGCAATTTTCGGCGGAATACGACACATTGTTACTGTCCGAGATCATGTCAGTCCTCAATCCCTGACCATGTTACAACATCGCGCTAATCTGTTTCGTATTATCAGGAACAGAGTCACAGGGAGACCGCATTAGGAAGACGCTTCACAAAAGTTCCCTGTACGAATCCCAAAAAAAATCCTTCCAATCTGACTCATTTCACGGCAAGGAGACGAGACGAGGCATCAGGAGGACGCTACACAAGCCTTGAGATGTCTCAAGCCTTGAATGCCAATTTCTCTACTCCCTTCTAAACTAATCCATCTCACGGCGGGGGAACGAGACGATGGAACAGGAGGACGTTACACAAGCCGTGCCTTGAATGCCAATCTCACCAATCCCTTCTGATCTGACCCATCTGACGGCAGGGGGACGAGACGATGCAACAGGACGACGCTACGCAAGCCTTGAGATGTCTCAAGAATTAAATGCCAATTTCTCTACTCCCTTATAATCTGACCCATCTCATGGCAGGGGGACGAGACGATGCAGCAGGACGACGGTACACAAGGGTCAGACGGCGTCCAAATACCCAAGGAAGGGCAGTTGACGTACGACGGCCGCTACAGGCGCTACAGCTTCTACGGCATCATCTTCGAGGTCCCAGTCCGCTACGTCCCGCTCGTCCCCATTGGCCGAGGAGCCTACGGAATCGTCTGGTGAGCCATGGGATGAGAACGGATAGATGTGCATGTGAACCATGGATTCGTCAAGTAATAATTGATGTCGATAAAGAGAGCAGTAGAGGCGGTGGAGACTTCAGGCTAGCGCTATTATAAGTTAGCAGGTGTTAGTCGAATCCGACAACATTCTCAGATTGATTCCCCTTGTGCCCTCAGTCCTGCAAGTGAGGAGACAACTGGGGAGGAGGTGGCGATCAAGAGGATCGGCAAGGTGTTCAACGACCACACAGACGCCAAGCGTACCCTGGCGATCAAACCATGCATGTTGCCTCCTTTCCTGAACGTTTTTTTTTTCCCCGTGGTCCCTCAGCTCGGCACGAGATGAGACAACTGGGGAGGAGGTGGCGATTAAGAAGATTGGCAAGGCGTTCAACGACCGCACAGACGCCAAGCGGACCCTGCGCGAGATTGTGCTGCTCAGAAACATGAACCACCCCAATGTGAGTGAGCACACTCTTTTGCGTTAGGACATCATCCGCACCCCCAACCCGTATAGCTTCCAGGACGTACACATTGTGTACGAGCTCATGACTCTCGTTGCCCTCCCGCTCCTCTTCACCCCTAATTTCCCATCTCCTCTCCCCCCTCCCCCCATCCATTCTCCCGCCAGGTGATCGCCATCAAGGACATCATCCGCCCGCCCAACCCCAGGGCTTTCAGGACGTGTACATTGTGTACAGCTCATGCCCCTCGTTGCCCTCTCACTCTGGTCTCCCCATTCTCTCCTCTCCCTTCCTCCCACCAGGTGATTGCCATCAAGGACATCATTCCCCCCGCCCAACCCCGCGAGCTTGTGCCTTTATGGACGGGCACATTGTGTACAGCTCATGCCCCTCGTTGCCCTCTCACTCTGGTCTCCCCATCCTCTCCTCTCCCTCCCCTCCACCAGGTGCAAGGACATCATCCGCCCGCCCAACCCCCAGAGCTTCCAGGACGTGTACATTGTGTAGCTCTTGCCTCCCGTTGCTCTCCCAGTCCTTTCTTACTCTCTCTCCCTCCTTCTACCTCTTCCTTCTCCCCCCAAGTAATCGCCATCAAGTAGATCATCCGCCCCCCCCAGAGCTTCCAGGACGTGTACATTGTGTACGAGGTCATGCCCCTTGTTTCCCTCCTGTTCCCCTCCCATTCCCCTCCTCTCTCCTCCCTCCCACCAGGTGATCGCCATCAAGGACATCATCCGTCCGCCCAACCCCGGGAGCTTCCAGGACGTGTACATTGTGTACGAGCTCATGCCCACGGACCTTCACGAGGTCATTCGCTCAGGCCAGGCCATGGACGAGCGGCACTACAAGGTGGGCTCGGGGGGTGCTACTAGGATGGCTCAAACCTACAAGGTCGGTGTATGAGCGATGGTACGAATCTTGAGAGTAGCTGTTAAATCTGGTTTCGTACGAGCTCATGCCCACGGACCTGTGCTGCACGAGGTCATCCGCTCAGGGCAGGCCATAGACGAGCGGCACCACAAGATAGGTGGGTGGGTGTATGAGCGATTGTGCAATGCAGTGCCACACCGTGTGTTTATGATGGCACACGGCTGGGGTGGGATGTAACTGTCGGATGTAATTGTGTACAAGCTCATGCGCACGGACCCCTGCATGCGCACTGATCCCTGCATGCGCACTGACCTAACATGCGATAATTCGTTCCCGGTCCCTGCAACTCCCGGTCCCTGCAACTCCCGGTCCCTGCAACTCCCTCCCAATTCATCCTGTTCCAGCTGCTAAGGGGCACCACCAGCTGCATCCACTCAGCCACACCCGCCCCCCCTTGTTTCTAGTCATACATGTGCTTGTAACCCCCTCTACCCCGACCACCACTTCTCCCCTTCCCCAGTTCATCCTGTTCCAGCTGCTGCAGGGCACCAAGTACATCCACTCGGCCAACATCCCCTGTCAACCCTCACTCACATGTCTCACATGTTCCGTGTGTAACCCCTGTTTACCCTGTCACTCTGTGCTCCTCCCTTCCCCAGTTCATCCTGTTCCAGCTGCTGCGCGGCACCAAGTACATCCACTCGGCCAACATCCTCCACCGCGACTTAAAGCCCCCCAACATCCTCATTGATGCGCGCTGCAACATCAAGATCACCGACTTTGGGCTCGCGCGCACCCGTGTGGAAACCACGGACCATCTAACCGAATACGTGGTGACGCGGTACTACCGCGCGCCGGAGCTGCTGGTGAACAACCAGCAGTACAGCGCGTCCATTGACGTGTGGTCGGTGGCGCTGATCTACCTGGAGCTCGTGCTGGGGCACATCGTGCTCAAAGGGGACAACTACGTGGACCAGCTGCGCAAGACATGCGAGGTGAGGCCAAAGGGGGGGGGGAGAAGAGAGGAGGGCGGGTGACTGTTGAGTTGGAGTCGACTCAAAGGGGACAACTACGTGGACCAGCTGCACAAGACCTGCGAGGTAAGGGGAGCTGCTTTTTTTATAATATATACTTCCTGCTTGACAATGCTGCTAGCTGCTCTCGTTTGAGGTGGCATTTGAGTTGGAGTCGACTCTACGTGGACCAGCTCCGCAAGAGGTGCGAGGTGAGCGCAGGGGGGGTTGGGGGGAGAGGGGGGAAGGGGGGGGGATGCTTACATTCGAGGTGACTGTTGAGTTGGAGTCGACTCTATGTGGACCAGCTGCGCAAGACGTGCGAGGTGAGCGCAGGGGGGGTTGGGGGGATGCTTACAGTCGAGGTGACTGTTGATTTGGAGTCGACTCAAATTCGACAACTGCGTGGACCAGCACCGCAAGACGTGCGAGGCGAGGGGAGCTGTTTGCTACCTGCTGGAGACTGGGCACGCTCTTAAGACTGCTAGGGAGCAGCCGCCCATTTCTTGCTCAAAGGGGACAACTGCGTGGACCAGCTCTGGAATACCTGCGAGGTGAGCCCAGGGGGGGGAGCAAGTGGGGGGAGAGCAGGGGGGAGAGAGGGGGGGGGTGGGGGAGGGGGCGGGTGGGCAGGATAGTAGGGGTAGAAAATGGTCATCGTTGCTGCTCGCAGCCTCCTGCTCTCAGAGCTGCAGGGCTTCCCCTTCGTATCCAACTCATGTACCTCACTTGCCCTCTCCGTATCTCACTCTTGCTCTTCATTTCCCCCTTCGTTCGTACGCCAGCTGATCGGATCCCCCACTGAAGAGGACGCGTCCTTCATAGTCAACGATGCCGCCCGCACCTTCCTGCTCTCGGAGCTGCAGGGCTTCCCCGCGAGGAGCCTCAGGGAAGTTTTTCCTAAACTTTCAGAGCTCGCGGCTGACTTGACCCAGCGCATGCTGGTGTTCGACCCGAGAAAGAGAATCACAGGTGAGAGATTCTCAGGTGAGAGAATCACAGGTGAACCCGATGAAATCAAAAGCGAAGAAGACAGGTGATGCGCTTCTGGGATATTTCTCACCACCCGGTTCAGTGGCTCTACCCCACAATTTCAGTGGATATTTCTCGAACCTGGTAACTAGGATTCTCCCCATTCAAGGCCTACAACATACAATTTTTGAGGCGCCTCAAAAATAGACTCTACCCCACACGAACCTGGTAACTAGGATTCTCCCCATTCAAGCCCTACACCCTACAATTTCCACCCCCCCGATTTCCTGGCCCCCTGCCACTGCTCCGGCCCCCCGACCTACCACAGTGGACGAGGTTCTGGCCCACCCGTACCTGGCTCACTACCACAATCTAACCAGTGCCCCTCGCATGGTCGACTTTCCTCGGCACAGCCTTGTTTTCTCCCCTAAACCATGTCTCCCTCGCCCCTACTACAGTGGACCAGGCTCTGGCCCACCCGTACCTGGCGCACCCATACCTGGCGCACCCGTACCTGGCGCACTACCACAAGTCGAACCAGGACCCTCTTTCACTTTTGACCCAACCTTCTTCCCTCTCTTCTCCCGTCCCTCTCCCCAACCCCCCCGGCTCCTGTCCCTCCCCCCTACCACAGTGGACGAGGCTCTGGCCCACCCGTACCTTGCGCACTACCACAAGTCGAACCAGGACCCGCCCCATCCGAACCCGTTCCAGTACGACCTGAGCTTTGAGCAGGAGGAGTACGACATCCCCCGCATCCGCCAGCTCATCTTCGAACAAGCCTGCGCCTTCAACCCACAATAAATATTTCCGTCACGGTTTGAGAAAATCTGGGTAAATGTGTGTGCTGTATTATGTTCGCTTCGTATTGTAGAGATTAAATAGCTAGCTATCCTGTGGGTAAATGACTTTCCAGCAAACTGCAATACAGTTTGCTGTGTGGGTATTTATTTGTAGGCCCCACCATTTTTGCTAGTAGAACTGTACCCTCTAGCCTCCATGTTGGGTAGGCCGTATTCTGGAATGCAAACAGTGTCGAGCAACCTCCTAGGATAGGTTCGGAACTGGCTAAAAGCCAAACAATCTTTTTAATCACACCGAGCCTCCTGGGATACAGGTGTGTACCGATCACCAGAATAGGGAAGGCTGGGATGCGGTTTGCGGAAAGGGCACCTAGCTGCGGGCTAGGGCGAAATCCTTCCTACTGCCTCTCGATGTGAATGCCAGCTTTCTTGCAAGAGTAGCTGGGAATAGTGAAACGTGGGGCAATCCGAACGCAAAGAAAAATGTGTTCAATTATATATGTTTGTTATATATAATTGTAGGCTTGGTAGCTGTTACTGAAACCTACTGTAGAGGTAACAACACCCCTCCTTCTATCCCTCTATCTTCTATTCTCTATCTCTTTTCTCTCGTCAACTTTCTCTCCTAGTTCCTAGCTAAACCCTCACGCCATTTCATGGCTTCCTAGCTTCCTAGTTTTCAACATGCTATCAGAGCAGGTTCCCCTTCCTGGGCCTGCTCCCCACGCTTCCGCCGCGTACTCGTTCATCTTTCGACCCTGCCGGGCCGCTGTCGCGGCCATGCCGAGCAGCTGTTGCTGAGTCGCGGTGCTGCCGTCGCAGCCCCGACGCGTGGCGTCGACGCCACACCGCTGCGACGGCGTCGTGCTGCCGTCGCAGCATCGACGTCCCGCCGTGGCATCGACGCCGCACTGTGGCGGCGTCATAATGCTGCGGTGGCGGCGTCGTCGGGCTTCAGCCGGCCGCGCGACGCCTGTGGCGCCGCTAGACCTGCCGCCCGCACGCCTGCCGCGAGCATGATCCTGGATCACGCACTGCCCCCCCCCACCCCACCCCCTCCTTCCCCTGCATCCCCTCCTCGTCACAGCCGACGCCTGACTCGTGGGGGTCCCCATCGTCGTGGAGGTTGGACACGCCGCCGAGAGGGCGGGGGCCGCTGCAGTCGCCTCTAACGTCGAAGCCGCTGCCGTCGTTGCTGTCGCCGCTGGCCGTTGCCGCCGCACACCGCCGTCGCCGCCGCTGTCATCACTGCCGCCGTAGCCATCTCACGGGCCGTGGGATTGGCCCCGCCGGAGTAGTCGTGGCTGCTGCTTGGTATGGGGGTGTTAGGTTAGGGGTGTGGTTGTCTGTGGGTTCTTCTACTACCAAGCCTAGGGGGTGTGTTAAATTATATATGTTTGTTATATATAATTATAGGCTTGGTAGCTGTTACTGAAACCTACTGTAGAGGGTACAATACCCCTCCTTGTATCCCTCTCTCTTCTATTCTCGATCTACTTTCTCTTGTCAACTTTCTATTTTATTTCCTAGCTAAACCCTCACGCCATTTCATGGCTTCCTAGCTTCCAAGTTTTCAACAAAATGCTCATATTTCGGAAAATAAAAACGTAGAGAACCCAGGATAAGGGCGTGTCAATAGCCTATGTAGTCTACTAAACACAGGCAGTAGACTACATAGGCTATTGCCATAGAGAGTACAACCCACTACCTATATACTCCTATATTCTCTCATTCTAGTCATTCGTTCTAACTCTGAGATGGTATCATGAGTAGGTTAGGTCCCACCCGCCCATCCGCGCTTCCGCCTTAGGTCCTAGCCTTCCCCGTCGCCTAGCTCCTAGCCGCCCCACCGGCCCCGCCGCCCCGTTGCCTTGCTGGCCCCACGGCCCCGTTCCCTAGGACCTAGCCGCCCGTGGCCTCGCGACACCGTCACCTAGCGCCTAGCCCACGTGGCCCTGCTCCCCTAGCTCCTAGCCGCCCATGGCCCTGTCGGGCCTCGTCACCTAGCGCCTAGCCGACCGTGGCCCCGTTTCCCCGCCACGTCACGCCTAGCCGCCCCGCTGACCCCGCGGCCCCATCACCTAGTGCCCAGCCGCTCCGCAGCCTAGCCGCCCCGTGGCCCTGTAGCCCAGCCGCCCCGCGGCCTCGTCGTCCAGCCACCCCCGCGGCCCCGTCGTCCCAGCTGCCCCGCGGCCCAGTCGTCCCAGCTGCCCCGCGACCCCGTCTCCCAGCTGCTCCGCGGCCCCGTCGCCCAGCCGCCCCGTGACCCGTCGCCCCTCTGCGCCGCGGCCCCGTCGCCCAGCCGCCCTGCGGCCCTGCTGCCCAGCCGACCCACGACCCGTCGCCTTGCTGCTCCGCGGCCTTGTCACCGAGCCGTCCCGCGGCCCCGTCGCCCAACCGCCTCTCGGCCTCGTCTCCCAGCTGTTCAGCCGCCGTGGTTCCCAGTCCCCGCCCGCTTCACTTGCCCTCTCTACCATCCTAAAATCGCGCCCCACCGTACCTCACTGCACCGCGCCCCACCGCACTGCACCGCGGCCCATCTCATTGCACCGTACTGCACCGCACTCCACCGCACTCTACCGTACAGCACTCCTTCCCACCATTCCCCATCGCTCCGTCACCGTCTGTTCGCGCTTGCAGCGGCCCGCATGACGGACTCAGTGTTGCGATTTGACGCGGAGGGTCAGCTTATTGAGTTCGACTCATGGCTCGTCGATCTCCGCCGTCACCTCACTGGTCAGCGGCAGGACGGCCATTCCCTGGCCGTCCACATTGACGGTATGCTCCCCTGCCCTGACCCCCCTGTTGCTCTCCCCGCTGACCTCACGTCTGCTGACCTTGAGTCCGCCGCCGCTGCTGCCCTTGCCCGTGCTGTCTGGCTGTCGCGTGACGCTGTCGCTCAGCTTGTGATTAGCCATGCCCTCCCCTTGTCGGAGCGCCCCTGCTTTAAGTCGATCAGGATTGCGCAGGAGTTCCTAGAGGCTGTTGTCGAGCGTTATTCCACCCCATCCTCTGCCTCTGCCAGCCCCGCCTAATCCTTCCCATGCTCTTCCCTGATCTCGCGTCTTTCCCCACTGTCGCTGACCTGGCCACGCACCTGCGCACGCTCGATGCGAGCTGGCGTGCTGCCTGCACTGAGGCCCAGCTTCGTGTGCTCCAGCCCCCTATCTGCTCTACCCTTTACCTGCTTACCACCCGCCTCCCCGACCACCTTGCCACTGCCCGCAACCACTTTCTTAGTCTGCACCCCGCTGACCTCACCCTATCCGACTTTGTCGACACATTGTCTTCCATAGAGACCCGTCAACGCTCTATCCCCTAGTCTACCGGTACTGCGCCGGTCCTTATCTTTAGGGTTGTGCTCCCGCCCAGTGCACTTACTCTGACAGTTCTGTGGCTGTAGCTGAGACAGCCCCTGCTGCTGAGATCGCTGCCGCGGTGGCAGCAGCGCAGTCCCGTTATGGTAAGGCTCGCCGCCCCAAGGCTGGGTGCGGGGGGGGGGGGTTAGTGGAGGTGGTAGTGGAGGTGGTTCGTCCGCTGGTGGTAGTACAGACGAGGGGGCTGGGGCTGGTGCCTCGGAGCAGCAGCCCTAGCGGGAGCAGTAGCAGGCACCACAACTTGACCAGCAGTAGCCACAGCAGCAGCAGCAGCCGCAGCGGAGGGTCGGCCACCTCCAGCCTGGGTGGCCTAGCGCTGGTGGATGTGGTGGTGGTGGTCGCGGTGGTCGTGCGCGTGGCTCGGCATCGGGTGGTAGTGCGAGTGACGGGCATTGCCAGTACCGGCTCCAGACCGGTCCTCGCCGTGACCTCGTGTGTGGTAAGACCGGTCATACCCCCACTCGCTGTTTCAGTCGCCTGGACGACCTGTTTCAAATTCGCTTTGGCCCCGCGCCGGACCTGCTTCAATCTGCTCCGCCGTGGTGTTAGGATCTTTGATATGGACATGGATGAGATTAGCTCAGCATTGTATGTGCTGTATGTCGATGACTCTAGTGTGAGTGGTTCCTATTACCCCCTCTTGCCTAGTTTAGGTCTCTCCCGTGTGCCTAGTTTAGGTTCCCCTGCTGCGTCACGCATAGGACCAACTACTTTGTTTAGCCGTGGCTCCATACTAGCTCCACCGCCCCCAGCCGCCACTGCCGCGCTCTCCTTCACTCTCGACTAGGCCGCGTCTCGGTGCTTTTTTCGGGACCACACTACGCTTACGCCGCTCGCCGTCCTTGCCGTAGTTACTCTTGCAGACCCTTCTTCAGGTCCAGTAGTCGCCCGTAGTTCCACTACTCTCCCCTGTCCGGCAGTTCCTTTGGGCTCTCTTACAGGCCTGCACATCCCCTCGTTCTCTCGGAATCTAGTTCGTGTCGGCTGTCTTCAGGACCTCGGCGTCACCAATACGTTCCCTGGTCAGGAGAGGTACGCTAACTGTACCGAGGCTGCCACTGGTGCCCCACTCACCACATTCCCCCGGGACCCGGTGTCTGGCCTGTTCACGCAGGACATCGCATCCCCCCAGGTTGGGATGCCCCCCTAGGTGGCAGCTCTACCCAGGTGTTTGCAGCTTGCTCATGTCGGTCGTTTACTCACCCGTCGCTTCTGTGGCACCATCGTCCTGGTCACCCCGCTCTCACCCGTCTCCGTCACATGTCTCAGCATGGTCTTGTCTTAGGTCTCCCTGCGTCGTTCTCTGCTCTCCCCTCCTCAGGAGTGCCTCCGTGCACCCCCTTCGTCGAGGGCCGGCTCAGCCGTGCCCCTCACTCTTCCTCGTTCCCCCCCACCACTGCACCATTACAGACCCTGCACATGGACGTCTTGGGCCCCACCCCCGTCCATGGGCCACGTCGTGAGCGCAACTTCCTAGTGCTTGTCGACGACTATACTCGTTGCACCACCGTGTTTCCCCTGGAGCGGAAGGTCGACGTGCCTGACGTTCTTATCCCGTGGCTTGTCTCTGCACGTGTGCACCGAGGTCTCCCTGTGTTGCATCTTCACTCCGACTGTGGTGGCGAGTTCGCCTCTGGCTGCCTTGGTCGTTTTTGTCGTGCGGAGGGCATCACCCAGACGTACACCCTTCCAGACTCCCCGCAGCAGAATGGGGTCGCTGAACGACGCATCGGTTTGGTCATGGAGGTGGCTCGTACCTCCATGATCCATGCCAGTGCACCCCATTTTCTGTGGCAGTTCGCCGTTCGCTACGCAGCCCACCAGCTTAACTTGTGGCCGCACCCTCAGCGGCCGCAGGTTTCGCCGACCCTCCTCTAGATCGCATCTCCTGATGACGCGTTTGC